GGGGGAATGCGGGCATGGGTGGAGTGCGGGCGTGAGGGGAGAGCGAGAGTGCGCATTATGCTCATTATGTGACTGAGTGATTGGTCAGAGGATCTTAGTGAGAGGTCAGTGAGGGGTCAGTGGGAGCACAGAATCTTACAGCTGATGAGCTGAACAGGTATTTTAGATATCTCCAGGGTGTAGGGTGATAGGTGCCAGTTGTCGGGTGTTGGTGAGGTTCTGTATGATACTCACCAGGACATGGCAAGTTGGTGCAGACTAATTCTCCATTCACACATGAACTGAAACAAGACAAAAACAGCTTCACAATGCAGGCCTGGTCATTCTAACTGCACGCCAATAACTAAACAGACTCCACAAACTTTCAGATTGACAGGATCTGTGGCCAGTGTCAGAGCATTTTTTCCAATCATTTGTGGGATGTGGGTATCACTGGCTGGGCCCAGCATTTATTGCCCATCCCTAGTTGCCCCTTGAGAAAGTGGGGGTGAGCTGCCTTCTTGAACCACTGCAGTCCCCCTGCTGTGTGTTGACCCACAATGCCATTAGGGAGGGAATTCCAGGATTTTGACCCAGCGACAGTGAAGGAACGGTGATATATTTCCATGTCACGATGGTGAGTGGCTTGGAGGGGAACTTGCAGGGGGTGGTGTTCCCATGCATCTGCTGCCCTTGTCCTTCGAGATGGAAGTGGTTGTGGGTTTGGAAGGTGCTGTCTGAGGATCTTTGGTGAATTTCTGCAGTGCACCTTGTAGATGGTACATACTGCTGCTACTGAGCGTCGGTGGTGGAGGGAGTGGATGTTTGTGGATGTGGAGCCAATCAAGCGGCTGCTTTGTGCTGGATGGTGTCAAGCTTCTTGGGTGTTGTTAGGGCTGCACTCATCCAGGCAAGTGGGGAGTATTCCATCACACTCCTGACTTGTGCCTTGTAAATGGTGGACAGGCTTTGGGGAGTCAGGAGGTGAGTTACTCGCTGCAGTATTCCCAGCTTTTGGCCTGTTCTTGTAGCCACTGTGTTTATGTGGTGAGTCCAGTTGAGTTTCTGGTCAATGATAACCCCCAGGGTGTTGATAGTGGGGGATTCAGTGATGGTAACACCATTGAATGTCAAGGGGCGATGGTTAGATTGTCTCTTATTTATGATGATCATAGCCTGGCACTTGTGTGGCACAAATGTCACTTACCACTTGTCAGCCCAAGCCTGGGTATTGTCCATTGATGATGAGGGTTGAGCGGAGTAGTGTTTTAGATAATATGTGACAAAATTTAAAACTCATCTGATAAACTATGAGCTAGTGAAACTAAAGGACATGGAATTAAATGGTCTACAGCAGTGTGGAGTCAAAAGTGGTGAAAGGACACAAAACAAAGAGTTATAGTGAGTGCTTGTTTCTCTGTGTGCAGTGAAGCAGATAATGACATTCCTTAGGTTTCCTGAAAGTGTCTTTTCAATAATAATAAGAACCTGCAATTACTTTTTTAAAAATGTATTTATTCTTATTCGAGATGAGGGCATCACTTGCTAGGCAGCATTTATTGCCCATCCCTAATTACCCAGAGGGAAGTTAGGAGTCAACCACATTGCTGTGGATTTGGAGTCACATGTTGGCCAGACTGGGTAAGGATGGCAGTTTCCTTCCCTAAAGGCCATTATTAACTTGGACAGACACATGGGAGGTGCAGTTAAAGAGAAAGAAGCATGAAGTTGGAGTGGAGTCAGAGGGCAGAATTCATCTGAATGCAGGACAGCTTGAGATGGCTGTTAATGGGTGTACAGAATCCTTAGGTTCATAACAGGTTACAAAAGCAGGAAAGTTATCCAAACTTATAAAACACTGGTTAGGGTTTAGCTAGCAAAGTCATGAGTCAGTGTTGGTATTAAAGCTTTTTTCAATAAATTGACTGAAACAGGATATCTGGTCGTTATTCCATGGCTATTTCAGGGATCTTTCTATGTAAACAGGCTGCCATATTAAACTTCATTCAGTACAAAGTGGTTTGGAAAGACTTGAGGCTGATGAATACATTATGTCACTGGGTGATATTCTGCTGTTAGGTGCCATTCCCAGCTGCTGAGTGTAGTTGCTGATATATATCAATAACTCACCAGGAGTTGCAGCTGTCAGCCTGAGGTGTATCTGTACCCGGTAACAATCTCCTCCCGGTTCTCAGATCAAGGCATGTACAATCCCGTTGTTCAACACACGATGATCCATTCTCATTTAAAACCTTCCCATTTGTACAGTAACAGCCTGGCTCACAACTCCACACACACCGCTGAAAAACCATCAGAACGAGGAAAACACACGATTATGGTGAGATACCGTGAGACACGGTGAGCCATATAAATATAGAGACAGAAAATAAGATGCAGGAGTAGGCCACTTGGCCCTTCAAGCCTGCACCACCATTCAATATGATCATGGCTGATCATGCAGTCTCAGTATCCCATTCCCACCCTCTCTCCTTGATCCCGTTAGTTGCAAGGGCCACATCCAGCTCCCCCTTGAATATATACATTAGGATTATTTACATTAGAAAGACAGAGGTTGAAGGGGGACCTGATTGAGGTCTACAAAATCATGAGCGGTATAGACAGGGTGGTCAGCAAGAAGCTTTTTCCCAGAGTGGGGGACTCAATTACTAGGGGTCACGATTTCAGGGTGAGAGGGGAAAAGTTTAAGGGAGATATGCGTGGAAAGTTCTTTACGCAGAGGGTGGTGGGTGCCTGGAATGCATTGCCAGCGGAGGTGATAGAGGTGGGCACGATAGCGTCATTTAAGATGTATCTAGACAGATACATGAATGGGCAGGGAGCAGAGGGACACAGATCCTTGGAAATTAGGTGACAGGTTTAGATAGAGGATCTGGATCGGCGCAGGCTCGGAGGGCCGAAGGGCCTGTTCCTGTGCTGTAATTTTCTTTGTTCTTTGTTCTTGTTCATACTGTTTGGTGGTCTGTGTACAACTCCCACTAACTTCTTTTTCCCTTTGGTGTTCTGAGCTCCACCCATACAGATTCCACATCGTCCAAGCTAATGTCTTCCCTTACTATTGCATTAATCATCTCCCTAACCAGCAACATTACCCCACCTCCCTTTCCTTTCAGTCTATCTTTCCTGAAAATTAAGTACCCCTGGACATTGAGTTCCCATCCTTGGTCACCTGGAACCAGGTCTCTGTGATCCCAATTACACCATTTCCATTAACAACTGTCTGTGCAGTTAATTTATCCACTTGATTACAAATGCTCCTCACACAGACTCCAAGCATTCAGGCTTTTTGACATTTATTGCCAAATTTGACATTAGAATCATGGTGTAATGTGGCCCTTTTTGATTTTTGTGTTTGGTTTCTCTGCCTTTGACTTTCACTTATCCCCTTACTGCCTTTTGTTTTTGACCCCACTTAACTTCCCTCCAACTTCCTGACCCCACCTCCACTGAATCCCACCCTGTGCCATATCAGTGTAAACCTTCCCCAACAGCACTAACAAACACTCCCCCAGGACATTGCTTCCACTCTTGCCAACTGCAGACCATCCGGTTTGTACTGGTCCCACCTCTCTCAGAACCGGTTCCAATGTCTCCCCGATTTGAATCCCTCCTTCTTTCACCATCCCTCAAGTCAAGTATTTGTCTTCGCTATCCTGCCATTCCTACTCTGACTAGCACGTGACATTGGTAACAATCCCAAGATTACTACATTTGAGATCCTACTTTTTAGTTTAACTCCTAATTTCCTAAATTCAGACATGGTGAGACACGGTGAGGGTGAGACAAGGTGCGACACGGTGAGACATGGTGACAGTGATGGTGTGACACGGTGAGGGACAGTGACGGTGAGACATGGTGACATGATGACACGGTGAGGGTGAGACAAGGTGCGACACGGTGAGACACGGTGACAGTGCGACACGGTGAGACACGGTGACGGTGATGGTGTGACATGGTGAGGGATGGTAACGGTGAGACATGGTGACACAGTGAGGGATGGGTGAGAGACGGGTGAGGGACGGTAATGGTAAGACATGGTGACAGTGAGGGATGGCGAGACATGATGACGGTGAGAGACAGTGACGGTGAGTGACGGTGAGAGACGGTGACGGTGAGAGACGGTGACGGTGAGAGACGGTGAC